AAGACACTAAATCCTTTGCCGAGATAATTTTGCTATAATTCAATTATTTCTATTAAAGGGACGTCCCGAGTACTTCAAAATAGTTGGCTGCATTATTTTTGCTGTAATATTGGTTTTACGCGACATAATAACACTTTTAGCTATCTTCTGGTTGCTTGATATTTCTGTGGGAGCTCAAGAGTAAAAATGTAGCCATTGGGCTTACAATTACTTTTCCTGCGCATTTTACGCATTTAATATGTTGTAATTTTATTTTATTTTTATTGCTAATATTATTATCATTTTAATGAATTAAAGTTTTCAATGATTGAGGCACACAGCTGTGAAAAAATAATATACGACTGAACACATAAATTTATAAACAAACATCAGTTTTTATATTTAAAACGATGGTGAACGATTATCCGAACCAAATGTAACAAATATTTGGACCCCAGACTGGTTGTCTTATTACTTAAACCTCATCACTGCATTGAAAGACTTGTTTCTATAACCTTTCCAATTTAGGGAGTCCTGGCATTGTCTTAAAACAATTCACCCTTGCCTTGAAATGAAAATCACCTTCACCTTGAAATGAGTCCTTGCCCCCCCCCAAAAAAAAAATTCTGCTGAGGAATAATGGATAATTTTATTGAATAAAAAACTTTAATTCATTTTCCATATACAGCTACTTATACGTGAAGGTTATACGGTACAGCAATATCACATGCAAATAAGCGTAAACTTTAAAAGAGGTAGAAAATTTCATTCCATGCCAGCGGTTAGATAATTTCATGCGGTAATAGATGCATTTAGAAGCAGAATAATTAACACTCCTCACGGTTGCGACCGCGTAACTCCACTCTAATCTTAGTTCAAGGTCAATTTTGAATAACTTTTTCCTGTCTCACTCTCTCTCACTGTTGCTCTGATTAAACGAAGTGCGAGTGACCCGGCAGTCAATAGTTCCGTTTGACTAATGCAGACATAATAAACGTCATTCAAAGACAGAATAGTGTTCTAATCTGGCAATCGTTCTGATAATCAGGGCTTGATTTGGCAAAAAGTAAACAGGACATTTACCCCAGTTCATCACTTTCAAATCCTTCTATAATAGTTAAGATACGTAAAATTTCAAACAATCCCCTTCCCACTGGTTTTAAAAAGTAAAATCAAAGGGGCAAAAAAATTAATTAAATTTAATCGTATTTAATTTTTTTTTATGTGTGTCTTCAAAATTCAGATTATTGTCTTGCACTTTCATTGGCGTTGATATTGTTTAGCGAAGGCTAAGTTTCATTGGCACTGATATCATTTAGCGAAGTTTCGATTTTTGAACTTGTCGTTAGTTGTCACGTTTTAGGAATGAAACTCCAGGACCGTGGATAATCAGGGACCATGCACCCAGGATAAGAATCCAGGATCACAGAGGACCATGGAGGATGGGATCATATACTTGCCCCCGTTGGAACGGAATCAAAAATGTGATTTATATTGATGCATGTAAATATAAAGTGTATGTGATACACATGTATTTTTATACTGATGCAATACTGTATACTATACAACAGGTGGCCATAGCCCAGATCTCGCAGGCGAGTGGTGTCTCTCTTATGTAAATATATGAAATACGGTAAATTTAAACCATTCAGTGTCCAAAAGAATTTAAATAATATATTACATTTCTTTTCCAGGATTATTATTAAACTTAAGCTGATCAATGTCCAAACGTAATTATTTTATTTAATTTCTTGTTAGTTAAGAAACTTAATAATGTTTATTGGAGAAGTTAAACAATAAGAATCAGCGTAATGTTTGTAAATTTTGTAGGACTAGCATTATGCAATGTTTGTAAATGCATTGTTATTTACGTGAAATTATTTATATTATGTTTATGTCGTATGCTGTACATTACAGAGAAAAGTGCAAGGGGGCGATGAAGAAAACTAGTCTTTTAAAAGACGTCGATTCAAGAAAAAGGCTGGTAATACTGATCTATGTGACATTGTGGGTCAATTGAAATTTACATTCATTGAAAAATCTCTCCTGCTTTATTGAACCATTGGGGCAAGTGGCATAAACACCTTTAAACATAAACCTAGTTAAATTTTAAGGTATTTCTTATGTATAAATAATTTGTACATAAAAGATACAGATATTGCAACGTTTCTAGAACTATGCTGAAACAAATTCATTCTACTCCTTACTCTAATTTTTTTTTTAAAGTTGTCTTCCGTACATAAATATGCAACAATTTATAACTATTCATAACTACATAGACGTGCATCTGGAATGATCACGGAAAAAAATGGAAACAAAATCTTGAGCAAGAGCTCCAGATTTTACAAAGGCAATTAAAAGTAAGCTTTAGAGCTTAGTAAAGGCCAATACAACAATTATTATGATAAATCCATATGCAGAAATTGAGTCTCTTAGTACAAATTATCGGAAGTTAGCGCCAGCTTCAGTAGCTTTGCGATGGAGTAATTAGGGTGTTTCATTTTTTCAAGATGTGATTTTCATATGACTTTGTTTAAGCTCCGAATCTCAGTGATGTAAAAGATATATATGTCAAATTTCAAGAAGATTGGTTAATATTAGGCGTTGCACACATTGATCCCGTTTATCTCAAACTAGAGAAATTTCTAATACTGAAGGGGTTTGTACTAGTAGTCTTGTAGAGGTTATTTTAAGTTTCTAATAGTTATTTTAAGTTCAAACATATTTTACTGTGTATTCTCGTTTCCTTGCGTTTTTAGTATCGCGTTTTATGCAAATGAGTTAGAAGGAGTATTTAAGGAAGGTTTGACTAACTTCGAGAGAAAGTGCTTAGGAGTCCTTACTGGCGCGTATTTGCCTTCTGGCTACTTCGTTCTTGAATCTACTACCCTCGGCCATATTGTACGTGTCTACTGATAATCGCCGGCTAGGTTAAATAAAGGACCAACTACGTTAGGTATTTGTGTCAAGCTTCGGCTGTCTATTTAGTTCAATATTAGATTAGTTTCTTATTTTCTTATCCTGATTTAAAATCCCGAGTGGAGACTTTCCTGTAAGACCTAAAAAGGACCATCTGTTATTATTTCTTTAAGTGAATAAAAGGAGCAAGACTCTGTCGTAAATACTTGAACTCAGCGATAACTCGCTACTTGGTTCACTAGGTTCCTCTACATTTGTCATAGATAAAAGTACTGAGGAACATTACAGGCTTCTCATCTATTTCTTTCCTTGATCACGAGCCTTGGTCATGATGTTTAAAAAATTTACGTATCTTTAGTTACTGTTTATAGAGCTTGGGCAATCAGTAGAAGTAAAATGAAAAAGAAAATCGAAGAGCCATGCTTTGAAAATCCTCCCCATTCGGTCTTACATTGGGACAGTAAACTGTTGCCTTCAGTTGCACATGGAAGTGTGAAAACTTTGGAAGATAGAGGTGCAATTCTAGTAACTAGCAAAGAATTTGAACATATGCTTGGAATGCTTGTCCTGGAATGCACTGGTGAGCAGATGGCTGAAGTAGTTCTTCGGAAAATAGACCGATTTGGGGTACGTGACAATATCATCAGTAAGTCTTTTGATACTACAGCATCCAGATTTTTTGGAAGTTCTGATGTCTGTGGGCTTCATTTCATAAAAAGTCATATACGAAATGCTGGATGAAAAAAATCACATTCGAGGTTACTAGATGAACAACGATTGAAAATGGTTTACTGCATCCACAATGTCCAAAAAAACAGAAGATTCAAGAGAAGACTACAAAGAGTTATTACTACTCTCACTCCTATTCCTAGGAGGTTGGTCTCAAAACGACTTTAATTTCAAGATCCCAGACGTTCTGCAACAAGCAAGGTGGATGGAAAAGGCAATGTATGCACTTAAAATTCTCCTCTTCACTAAACAGTTGAATATTCCTCAACAAGGACTGAAAGAAATGCAACGGGCTGCACATTTTGGGAGCTTCACATATCTTCGCTTTGGTACGAGGCAATAGAAAGTCGAGGAGTTTCAAAGAATAATTTGGATATGTTACAGCTTCTAAGCACTTACTCAGATGCAACGTCAAAAAATGTATTCTCACAGTTGTTAAGCGACACCTTTGGTATCCGTCAGAAATAAACGTAGGATTGGCTTTTTTGTTGACGAATATATTAATCAGGCTAATAAGGAAAATATAACTAAAAATTTAAAAACCAAACTTGCAAGTAAAAAGGAAAATAAACGATTAAAGGGTAAAAACCTAGTTTTTGAAGGAATGACCACAGTTTGTTACTAATAAAACAAAGACGTCCTTTGAATTTCTTTTGTTATCCGCAACGTAACAGAAATACTGCGGTGATTCTCTAAGAAGCCATGTGAAAGCTCTTAATGTGGTCAGTGATACCGCAGAAAGAGGATTTGTTCTGACAAAATAGTGTAACAAATCGGTCAGGGACGAATAAAAACAGTTCTTGTTGAGGGTAGTCGAACATCACAGAAAGAATTTCGCTAAGCGAACAAAACAAGGGATTGCATCGTTCAGAGTTGATTAATATAACATACGTTTTGCCTATCATACTAAATACTCTTAGCGTCTAGTTTTTAATATTATTTTAAGTTTGTGATTTCTAGTTTCCCAATAAAAGTAATTTACATTGAAAGATCACATTTTTCGCCTACTTTTACAAAACTGATCAAAGTGTGAAACCGCTAAACATTATCCAGTCTTTCGGAAGTTTAAGACTCCGGGAATAAGCAAAGTCAGCAAAACTTTTACATTTTATTTTTTGCCTAACAAAATGAAACACCCTAATATCCATTAACTTTAATTCTAATTGCTCAAGAGCCTTCATTAATTATAAGCCATTTTTGTTTGAATGCTCACAAATAAAATTAGAAACTGAATGAAGCAAAAATTTCTCTTCAGTGTCGTCTCTTTCTTTCCTTTATTTTTTTATATGAAGAATTAATTTTTAACTTCACAAATATATGAGATAAATTCGTGTTTTTTGAGATATACATATCCCTTTTTTCTCTCTTTTTAGGTCATAGAAGACTCATATCAAAGGGCTTTTGAAACAAATAAAGAGTAAAGAATGACACTGAAAGCATTCTTTAAGTGAACAAATTTTTTTCTATGCCATGCTCCATTACATAGACTTTAAAGGTCCTAAAAATAATATCTTCACTGAAAAGATAATAATACTATTTTGAGGCCTGCTCTTGGGAAGAAGTGTTCATAATTGGCCTCAAAATGACAGCCATCTGTGAAAAATCTTGTTCAAGACATAAAATTTCCTTCCTGAATCTGCTTTTTGCAAGCACATTAAAAGTTTAGTAGTAGATGAGCTTTTAATTACTCATGAAGTTGTTTCCTTTTGATCATTTGGCACTGTCATAAAAAATATACAAAAGCTATGACTAACAATGCTTTTAAAACCAAACGATAAGCGATATTGGAAAATAACCGCAAAAACATAAACTAGAACATAATTTTGGCAGGTTACTTATTCTTTAATCGTTTTCCATTCTAATTATTGAATTAATTACTTTCATCTAAGCAAATCCTTATGCTTTTTTAAAATATATTCCTCCCTTTTCGAAAGGAATTAACAATTTAAACATAATATATGACGTTAAGACGTTTTTTAAGTTTCTTTTTTGATTCTAAGCCTTGTTAAATACCCATAATCCTGCGCAATCGGATTTGAAAGCACTTCCACCTTCAACTTGACATACTTCTGATATATTCTTCATTAGGGCAGTTTTTAACGCCTTTGTAAATGAGATTACTCTCATTTTGCGGCTCTTAGGAAAAAAGGATTGAATGCTAAAGAAGGAAAAATTATACAGTTTATTAAAAGCGCTCCGAAAGGCGTTTTTTTTTTTTTTTTTTTTTTTTTCGCATTAATTTGGGTCAAGGAAATAACAAGTTTGCATAAACATTTTTCGTTTTAGTTGGGAGGCAAAGAAGATTAAACTCATTCTTCACAAAATTAAGATTTAGAAAAAGAATTGAGATAATACTTTCACAATTTTATTGTTTACAGTAGTGGAAAGCTACATTGTAAGTCTCAGTCTAAAGCTTTTGTGAACAGAAGACGATGTATAGCTGGAAAAAAAACCTAATTCAGAATATTAATATTTTTAAATGAATTTCAGTGTTTTAAAATTTATTTTTATTTCCATGGCCAGTGTAAATGTTGCTACCTCTTTCTACTATTAATTCAGTTTGGTATTTGAAAATTTCATCCGTAGATTTATTAAATGTAGTTTGCGCACTGATTTTTAACACAATATTTTTAGAAATTATATGAATTTAATTACCATAAATGAGCAATTATGTAACTTTTAAATTTCCTATCGTGAGGGATTAAACATAAAATGGTTCAAAAACACGAATTTCAGTTTCATTCGACAATGTAGCTGATTTATAAAAGAAAGCTATACGTATCGATCATCTTACTTGAAAGCTGCCAGTTATTTTAAAATGCTGTTGAGTAAATGTTCGCCCAGCTCTGGAGAACTCTCCAGCCTTCGAAGTAGATTGACTCGTAAAAAGCTACAAAATTCTACTTCGTTATAATGCGATGTTCGCCTACCCTTGCTAAATCGAATGAACACTGGCAGTTCGATCCAGGTTCAAAATCTGATAAGAGATTAGGCTGAATACGTGTTTTTATAACTTTCCACATATGTAGCATAATTATGAGCTAGCTTCCTTTAGAAAGTTCTTGATAAAGGTGTTTATTCCTTTACGCATATAGTCCTAGCGTGTTCTGCTATAATTCAAAAGTAAAGAAATAAATAGGTGGCGCTATAAACTAGAATTAGACGATTCTCTCTAGAACTGATTCAAAGAACCGATTCGGTTTACTGAGAGAATTTATTCCGATTCCAGAAAACGGAGTGGTAGTTCTTTGCATTTTACGGACAGCTCTTGTTGGAAGCCTGTCCGTAATAGGGATCTACTACTATTCGTTTATGAACTGATTCACTTTACTGAGCCAACAAACGCCTGATTCTCGAAAAAGGAGCCGATCTCTTGTTAGTCCAGTGCCAGGAAAGTTCGATTCCCATTTTAGGGGAGAAAAGTATGTTTATCATTCCATGTTAAAAGTAAGTTTAATTTTCATCGTTTCCCAATTTTTTGAAAAATTTTTATTCTAGGATTTTATTGTTAGTTCTATACAGAAAGGATTTTTTATGGAATCTCACGACTACAATTGAAAGTAATTAGTTCAGGGGTTAGCATTTAATACGGTCGATTCTTCCGATTCATGTATTTGTTCGATTCTTTTCCCTCATCGCTCCAACTCGCTAACCGATCCCGATTCCCTTATTCGTTCGATTTTTTCCGCTCTTCACGCCTTCATTGCTAGCCATTCTTGATTCATCCCTCGTTCTCAGACTCTTTCATCAGGGTTATTGTTAGTGAGCGGACAGTCATAAAAAAAGAACCGATTCATTTCAGTGAGCTAACGGTTCTGATCCGATATCTCATAAAAGAACGGTTTTGCACATCTCTACTATGAGAAGTGAGGATGGTGGTAAACTACAGTATATAGCAAGAATTTAAGTAAGGAAAAACTCGTGGATTTTATTTTTTATGCAAACACAAGTGGCAATGTCTAGACAAGTGAGTTAGGATTTTTTTGATAAATGAACTAGAAAAGGGTTCATAAAATGACATCAGAAACGGCTTATGTTTAATTTATTAATTTTAAAAACATTACTTAATTTTTAAGGTACTTTTTCCCTCCTTTCTGCATGCTTTCGTGGTGTAACGGTAGCACACTCGGCGCGTATTCGAGAGGTTCAGGTTCGAGTCCCGTCGAGGGTACTGCACATTTGTCATATCTCCTGTTTCTATAAAAATCCTAATGACTGAAAATTTGTACTCAACATTTTTAAGGAGGACGCAGTGTTTTATATAGCTATTTTATCACATTAAGTAATGCGTTGTTAAAATTGAGATAACGAAGTATCTCCTGTCGCATGTATTAGCTACAACTTTATTTTTCATTTCGGGAGTAACCTTTTGACCTGGGTGTGATATTAACACGCAAAATCACTACCACATGAAAAATGTTTTTCAAGTTCTAAAAGGGAAAAGCAGAAACTGCAGTTCTCACAGCTTATATTAACACAGTCATTCAATACTTTATACTAAAATCAATCAATTATTACAAGAAATCTATGCTAAAACAAATACATACATTATTCCGTTATTACTTGAACATTATGACCCTGATCTTCTGCATGTACTAAGATTTTGTCATATCCACTTCTCTCTAGAAATAATGATAAACAAAATGGCCATGAAATTACGGTTTGCTGAAGATGTGTTTAGTCAGAAAGGGTTTGTTTTCAGTGTTAAGTGTTACATCTTTGGACAGAAAGACAGTGATGCGCGCACTAAAGGAAGAAAAATTCAGCATTTCCGTATTCCATCATCGATCACAGTCGTAACAACGAATATAATGAAAGGATCACTGCAATAGTCAAGGCAAAGAGATTTAAACATACAAAAGATCGGACAGAATCATTTCATTAGCATACTCTTGCGGCGTCAATGGCGAAGCGCGCGAATTTGGCGGAGAGAGAATAAATTACTCTTCGAGCAAGCTAGTCCAAGGCCATATTAAAAAATGGCTAGTCAAACGAGTTTGACTTGCTCTTTCAAATACATCGGACAGTTATTATATTTTCGTGGTAATCCTTTCACAAAATATTGCTTGTATATTCTTTTATAATTTTTATTCTTATTACTATTTTAATTTCTGACAGCTGTGGAACCGGAACTGCAACATTTCGGCCTTTCGGTTTTTACTCCTTTCGCGGTTTCTTTGCCAGGGGTGAAGCTTGCAGTCACCTATTAGATCTGCCAGAATATCAGGGTCCAGGCACGGAAAATCGCAATCCAGGCCGAATTGAGCACATGGTCTGAGGCTTATTTTCTTTGAATAATTCGAGACGATAGGCGTTTCTATTGCAATCATTCTATAATTCTAAGGTAGTAATTAAAAATCCTTAGCTCAGAGACTATAGCAATGAACAAGTGAATCATTCTTATAAAATTCTTTCGTAAGAAGAGAGTAGTTAATAGGAAACTATGATTTTTTAAGCATCTATCCAGTTGCTGACACCACACAGGAACGAAACATAACAGCCACCTTTCAGGTAGACAAAAACCGTTTAAACATCATTAGTAATGTAAGAAAACGTATTCCAAACAACATAAAGAAACTAAAAGTTAAAAGCAATAAAAAAATGGTGCTGGAATATAACGTATCATTTAGCTTTGTCGAAATACATTAAGGTGCTTTCATGTCGAATATACAAGCAATGTTTCTATCTAAAGTTCATTTCAGTTTCTTATAAATAGCGCAAGTATTCTTAAAAGCATTTCGATTTTACATAATGCAATGGATACACATTAAAGATTAAATAAATAAGTAAAAGTTTTAAAAAATTTAAATTAAATCCATTCAATATGTCAGTTAATCTCATTTTTATATACAGCAGTGTCATGTTCTGAAGCAGAATCATTAGGTTATTTTGAAGCAGGAGACATGAAAAATGAGCAATGCCCTCGCCAGAACTCGAAGTGGGACCTCTCGAGATGTGCCGAGTGTGCTACCGTTACGCCACGAAGGAATGCGGAAAGGAGGGAGAAAATATTTTGTTCTGGAAAAATTTTAATTAATAATAGCGTAGAAACTTTGACGTACAAATATTAAAAATCAAATTACCATTTGATTTTTCACAGATGACTGAAGACGGCTGTAATCATTCATATAATCAATCATAATCATAATATCGCATTATCGGCCATGAATCGTAATTAATATCCATAACATAAACAATTGCAATTAATCATTTTATTTTGTTTTGAAAAAAGTGATTAAAAATAATTACTAATAAATACAGTACATCTACTTCTTGCAGTAGTTGTGTAATCCCCGACACCAATTCTAGTTAAAGGGCGGCATCCTCTGATGTTTCAAAAGCTATACTATCAGCATTTGAATCATAACATTTTCCCGCACATTTAAAACAAATAGAGAGACACAATTTTCTTTTTACATCAGATTCTATAATAGGATATTATTTCATTAACTTTATTATAATGGACAGTATTCAAATAGTTTACTGAATTCAGATGATTAAATTCATAAACAGGTTAAAATAGTATAATCAAATACATCAAAAATATTTTTTTTTAGGCCAAAAGGTCATATTTTAGTCAGTAAAGCACTCACCTGAATTTTGCTCTTGAAAAGCAAGTATTTCTTTTTTTTTTTTTCAATGTTAAAGCGCAGAACAAATGGAAAAATTGAATAAAAAAGTGCAAAGGATAACAAGTAGGATTAAAAACATCATCATTTAAATCAATTCTTTAAGGAATAACCAACTGAAGTTTTAAATGTCTAATGGATCGATCTGCTTCAAACAACTACGTATTTAGCATTTCAGTTAGCCAATAATTTGTCTTGGGAAGAATATGATATTTCAAATTCAGTCGGTATTTGTATTTCTCTCATCTGCAGTAGTATTTTTAATCTATAATCTCAATGTAGGCTAGCGAACTAGTGGACGCTGAGGAGTTATTTGGAGGGTGAGGCTAAAGAACGTCTATGTATACACACAATTCTTGTCTAGGTACATAAAAATGCATATTCTTTGGTGAGGGGTTAGTAGTTCGAAGGATGGCGAGGCGTTAGTAGTTAGTAAGTGGGCATAGGAAGGTTAAGCGAGCAATAAAGAGCACGCTTGAAAAATTTGATTGCCTAAACACGTTTGAAATAAAGCATTTAAATAATCAATTTATTATGCAAATACATCTTCACAAGATGCATCTTTACAAGAACTGTATTCTATCATGTCAATTGAGGCTTCACATATATTGGTCAAAGCTATATGTAGATTCATTTTCTGTTCCAACGGAATGAAGTTATAAACTATTGGTATAAAAACATGACCATAAATGTGATATCCATTAGCTGAAGAAGTGTGTTCTTTCAATGTACTATAATACCGCACGTGTTACGGTTTGAAATCTTTGCAAGATTTGTCAGATCTATAAATGCTTTAATGAGTCTTTAATTGGTACCCTTCTGTTTCCGTGTTGCGTGACGAGTTTTAATTAACAATTTGATGAAAAGCGAATGCAATAAATACCTAAATGTTTTTAAATACTTTCAGCCAGAATTCGCAAATCCTACACATAAGACATATAAAATATAATTTCTGCAAGTGCTGAATTAGAAAACATCTCGAAAAGGGATTGGTAAACAAAAAAAGATTAAAAATTTATGCCTTACCTTATAAATGATGTTTAAGATAATTAATTATATTCTCATGCTTGGATTGTATAATCTGAATAAAACTGAATGAGAGTTAAACGGCACGTTCTTCTCTAGTAAGCACTTAATTGGATTTAAATATTAACATGCACCTATTTGTACAAACCTTCAGAGGTATCTATATAAAATCTTTATTCTTTCTAATATAACGAATGTCAAATTTAGGTCCAATGCCTTTTAAATTAATTCTCTGTTTCTTTCGCAAAGGAAAAATGAAAATTAAAACTGAAAAAGACCTATTTTTAAATTTTTCGCTTTTGAATTGTTCTGTTATTCTTGATTATAAAGAATCCCATTCAAAAGTCTGCTTAAATTGTTTCCATATTACGTCCACACTGAAGTTTCTTCATGTAAATATAAATGAAAATCTTGTTCAAGTACAATGGTGTTTTCAGTCAGTCGTGAGAGATTCGGGCGTTTATTTGGCACGAAACACTTTTCAACGAAGCGTTACAAGCCATTTTAAGGAAGAACGTGCATATGTGAATAATTTGAACATCAACAGTAGGAAATAATAACACTCCCCTATTTCCATCAACAAAGGAAATTTCGCAAAATGAAAGAGTCTTGAAAAATTATTTTAGTTTTATGAGATTATTGCGAATGACAGGGCTATAACCTCACAGACGTTTGGGATTTACCCTTGCGCAACTTAACAATGGAAAAAAAGAACTGCATTTAAAAAATATTCAAAGTACATTTATTTTTAATACACTTTTTATATAAAAAATACTTTCAAGATTACGATTTATACAAATAAGATAGAAACGAGTATTTAAGATGAAGCCTGTGTTACTTCAGGAGGAGAGCATGTTCTGCCTTTCGGCCACCCATTGTTGCTATTAATCTAGTATCCTACGGCCGTACTTAATACGTGCCTGCTAGTATACGCCAATGAGCATTAAATAGTACAAACCAACTCCGCGAGTTGTTTCTATGTTAATTTTATTTAGTATTAGATTAGTTTTATATTTTCTGTTCTGAATTGGAGCTTTGAAATTTTCAGTATTCTAGCTTCCAAGGAACTCTAGTTTAGCTACGATATTACAATATAATATAAGTAAAATAAACTAAATCAGTGACACTGAGAATCGACGAGTAGCCAGCCATATGGTATTCTTAATAATTGTTCAAATTCCAATATTATATTACTTATTAGCGTAACAAACTGAGCCAAAACATTTTAATAATATTTTGATGCTTTTCAATATATCAGTAATCTAATATAAACAAAAAGTTAGAAATTCAGAACCAATCTTACACAAAGATCCAAAAGAAGTGAAATTCAATACCAATAAATTTCAGAATACCCTATAAATATGCAAAATAAGAACTAAATTGTGAAACTAAAAACCTAACAATAAGAAAGAACTAAAACCAGAAAAAGTACAAAAACTAGAAAAAAATTGGTTTTAAATTTCTTGCTTTTTGTCTATACTGATCCATTTTCAGCACCATACTGCGCGGAAATATTTAGAATAATTATGTTTCTAAATACAATAATCTAATATATATGTGTGTAAGAAAAATCTAAAACTGTGAAAAGACTATGCAAAAGATAAATTATAATTTTAATTAGCAACGTAAACTAATTTCCCTTCTCTATTCTAAAAATAGTAATTTCTCTTTCCATTGCGTCATTTGGAGATTAATCCATGTCAAATGACTCTTACATAATTCTGATGATGTAAATGGAACTGAACTCAAACAACCAATAATTTTACAGCAGTATAAATTATCCAATCAAAATGCAGAACGCAAACTAACTCACTTTGAATTAAGATTTCTTCCTGAACATAAAGCATATGCTTTCTACTCTTCGGCCTAGCTGGACTGCAGTCTGCTGCTCTCTTCTTATTGCACATCTATCAAAAATGTAAACATTTTGATAATAGGGCACAAATAATGTGCCAAATTGTTTGCGGCCACAACACGTTTACTGAAATAGAACGAAGATTTTATCTGCCTCGGCTGCAAGTTTCCTGGTCATTGTAGATCGGCATTTCAGTATTCTACGCCATCAAAATTCTTGCTTTTCATTACCGATTTAACTTTCTACGTTCTACACCATTAATATTTCCAAGTCTTTTATTATATACGTAGGTTGGGGCAAAAGTCATGGCAACTTTTTTTTCCCCTTGAAGATACCAGTCCGGTTG